GATGCATCGTCATGACGATTATTTTGCACACCCTTACTCCCGCAGCAGAGTATCACTTGTCGCAGGTATGACGCAGACATTTTAAATTTATGCTAAATATTGAAGCGTGGTCTGCGCTATGCTTATTCCACGCCCTAACGCAAAAGTGGACACAAACTAGCTGTGGGTCTATATATGGCTGAGTGTGCGACAACAGAGGGGCTTGAAGGTGAAAAAGAGCAGGGATCCAGGTGGAAAAAGGATCCCAGTGTTCTCGTGCACCTCATTCTTCTAGCTGCTCCATCTTCACGAGTCGTTTTCCACAATGGCAGTCATATAAACAAAACAAACTGGTAAGGTACCAAACAGGACACGCATAGTGTAGAGCAGATGTAGATTTGACCAATCAGAGGCCTCCTGTCTGTGGTCACCTACAATTTTGGAGAGGTGCACCAGAGTGTCTGCAGAGGGAGCGGGGACGTCTCTGTGTTCATTGCGACACCTACTAAGACGACCTAGTTTTGAAGGATAAATACTCATGATGGAAGAACAGCCAGGAATTTTACTCAAGAGTAATCGTGTCATCACAAAATAAAAAGTTGATGCAGTAAAACAATTCTCAAAAGTAATTTTTTTCAGCTACTCTAGTAAATGTAACTAGTTAGTACCCACCTCTGACTAAGCTAGAGAGCTTTAGACAACAAAGGGTCCAAGAGGATGGAGAGAAACAAAGGATAAATATGTCGAAAAGCATCCGATGCCTGCTCTTAGGTATGGTGGATGAACTCTTTTAAAATTCTGGGAAGCTTTTTTAATGTGCATAGTATAAAGAAATATAGTATAAAGAGCCTCCTGACATATTGCTGCTCTGTGTTTTCCTCCAGCTGTTCTCAGAAGAAGAGGAATCTGCAGAAGACACAGCTGACAGTTCTCACTGACATTTAGGCTAACAGACTCTGAAAGAAAGTTGGCGCCATGGCAACAGAGTTTGTTCATCCTGGAGACATTCTTATTTCTCTGTTCCCTTCTAGAAAAAGTTTCAGAACTTTAACAACCAAATCCGACAGACTTAAAAACAGCTTTTATATCAGAAGATTCGCATCAAATAACAATATCAGCCAAAGACACCTTATGGATAAATGCAGCATATATCTTTGCTACTAAAATCTTTTTTTCATGGATTATTTGGAAGATTCATTTGGATATATATATATATATATATATATATATATATATACACTGTATAATTATAATAATTTATAAAAATGATAATTTACCTTATTATCAGAAGTTGTCAATGGCTGAATGTCACAGAGAAGCTGTGGTGTGGGTAGAGATGACCCACTTTCTACTTTCTGTATACGTACTTCAACCAACGTTATGAAAACCCCCCCAGATCAAATGCTGTGCTAATGACGAAAGAGAGGATGTTATAAAGGCATCAAATGTGTTACATTAGTGCCGGTTGGGACCTATTTTAAGGATTTTCTTACATTTCTCAACCACGTGTCCATAAATGTGCCCAGCACCATAAGTATGACCAACACAAAAAAGAAGGACTTAAGTTAATTATGTGTTGTTGTTTTTTTTAGCTGTTAAGATTTTTTTTTTTTTTAGCTTTTGGTGAAGATTTTAAATTAACTGAATTAAAAATATATATTTTTTAAAAAACCTGTTAAATTCAAGGACCCTGTGAACCTGCACGTTATGCGCTTCAAAAGCTGCAGCAGGCTTTGTTTGTGTTTGATCTCATTTCTAAGGAGATTTTTTTTTTCCCCACAAACAGGGATTTCAATTTACCCCGGCGAGACGGCGTCACAGCGGTTTGTTCTCAAATGAATTTTAACCCAAAATTACCCCAAGCACCTTACAGGACTCCTGGCACATCTAATTTGATGTTTTGAATCTGTGCTCCAGGCAGTGGAAGCAGAGAAAATTCAGTCGGTAATGAGTCCCTGTTACGCTTCCTGACCCGCATGGCAGACCGCAGGCTCTACCTCCACCTCTGCACAGTGGAATAAAAGCACCTCTCCTGGCTCTACGTTCTACACAAGCATAAGAAAAAATAAAACATCATCCATAGAGAGGCTCACCAGATCAGCATGGTAATCAGAGAAGACTTGAGAGGAAAGACACAGGAAATTCTCGAGCTGTGATGAAGTGGAAAAAAATGTCGGACGGTTAAATGAGGGGTTAAATAACTCTCTGACCCAAGACAGGTTGTGTTCTCTTCTGGGAAAAACAAACAGCTTTTGGAAGACAGAGGCATAAGACTTGT